TTTGTTCTGTCCTTTTTCTCTACAGATAAATACTTGGAACATGATCATAAAAATTAGTGATGTGATGGTCTTATTAGTATTGCATAAACTGCCCCCTTGGACTTCAAAAGAGGGTTAAAAAATGTATTTGTATAATGTGACTTGCTTTCAATGATGTTCTACAATTAGGAAACGTTTTTAAAAGTCATAAAGGTGTTAAATCTAGCTCCTTGATACAGGGATGGGGATTGTGATTTTTGCATTAAGGAAAAATTGTCATTTGAGTTTAAAAGTTTTAATGTGGACCTGTTTTAAAACAAGCAGCCAAGAGACAATGAGTGACACTTGCCCTCAAGATTTTAAGGGATTTTTTTAATGTAACTAAAAACTAAAATATAAAAGAATAAAAGAGATTAATAGGAGGCTTAAAAATTAGGAACGGATTTTGGGATGTAAAGTTTAAAAGTAATATTGCTCTTAACATTTGCCTCAAAGTGGAATAATTAGGATTACGAAAATAATTGCTTAATTGCTATTCCAGTTTGCTCTTAGAGGTTTTTTTAAGTTTCCAACAAGCCCAGAGCAAAGCACAGAGGATTCTTACAAGTTTGTCAGATGTAACTTTGGCTCTTAATAAGTTTCAGGTAAGAGCATGCTTAAAATCTACTTCTATGTGGACCACCTTGTTGCTTTTAATTGGAGTAAAGTGGCCTTTTATAAGAATCATTAATCTGCAAACTGGTTCGAAGCCAGCCCCTGCAGAAAAAGGCCCTTCTGAGAATGTCACCATTACTCAGAAGAGTTGCTTTGGGACTCAAAGTGGCAGAGTGCTAGCCTTGAGCTGTAGAGCTGAGGGACAGCACTCAGGCCCCGAGCTCAAGTCCAGCGACCAGCTAAGAGAAATGCAAATGAGGCATTTATCCCAGTTTAGAGAAGACACTCCTGGGACAAGAGCAATGGAGGAGCATCCAGAGGAGCAAGCCACTGCTTGGATGGCAGAAATGTCAGATCCTAGAGTCATTTGTGCGTGGCCCTTCAAAAATTGGTCAGAGCCAGGAGGTCATGAGAAGATAGGTTGTAAGCATGCCTGATGTCCCTGACTATCTCCCTTGTAGGGACAGAAACTTGTTAGTAATCTGTGATAGTACTAAAAAGCTAAAGTTATAAAATGTGGGGGATGGTTTAAATCCCAACCCCTGCATGTACCAAAAGCCCTAATTGAAAGTAAATTTTGAGCTAACACCAGCTACATGAAATTTATCTGTTCAAGAAAAAAGTTTGTAAACCTGAGAGTATGTTTCTATTAACATCTGTCTAAAGGCCTGAACAGATGACTTAGGCATTGTTAGGGTCACTAGAGGTCACATTCCTAAAGATGCTATTACAAACCAGAGTGTTAAAGAAGCTACACTGCTGTAGCCAAAAAAAAAAAAAAAAAAAGTCTGTGCATTTGTCAAAAGTTAAAATATTGTTCTTAATGACATCTAACCCTGGTAACCTCTTTGTAAAATAGACTAAGGTTATAGGTTCCTGGCTAGGTAGGATCAACACCACTGAGTCAGCTTGAAGAAGTTACAGAAGATGAATCTCCACCCATCATCCCCTTATTAGAACAAGGGACCAGAGTCATAAAAAAAAGTGGCAAAATAGACAGAAGAAAAATGCATGGAAAATAGTAGTACAGGCCTGAGCCCTCTATATCTGCCTAGAAAATTAGCACTATTAAAAGAACTATCTAGTTAAAAAGGTTGTCATTTTGGTAAATTGTCCTGGGCTATTGTCAAAATAGTCTTAAAAACTAGTGGGGCCACAACCTGCCAAACCTATGTATTACTTGTATCCTTAATCAGTCTGTGTAGAAATTTACAGCCCTGCAAGTGGTGTGACAGTCCATTGGAGCCACTGAGAGACCCTGCTGCGGCTGCTACAGCCTGACAGTCACCTGGAGGAAATCTACATTGTTACCCTGACCACCTCCACCGTGGAAAAAGTAGACTAAACTCCTGCCTTATTCCATCTAATGGATGCCTTAACTTTGTCCATGTTACCATATACCTACTCTAATTTTATTATGGCTACTCCTCTTGCCGGGGAGACCAGCAAACATTGCTCATTCCCTACACTGCTTTGCCACAATGGGACTTCCTAAACATATTAAAACTGATAATGGTCTGGGATATGTCGGACAAGCTTTTCAAACTTTTTGTAAATCTTACCAGATTTTTCACTCTACAGGTATTCCCTAAGACTGACAAGCCTTCATCCAAGAACAGTGAAGGCATCAACTAAGAAAACTAGAATATCATAAAAGTTTAAATTCAAATTGTCACTGGGGAATATATTAGAATATATTACAAAATTAGTCCAGGGGCTGGGAAGGTACCTCAGTGGTAAAGTGCTTTCCTTGTATGCCTGAGGCCCTAGGTTCAAATCCTCAGCACCACATAAGCAAAAAGAAAAAAGCCAGAAATGGCACTGTGGCTCAAGTGGTAGATCACTATCCTTGAGCTGAAGAGCTGAGGGACAGTGACCATTCCCAGAGATCAGGCCCAATGACCAGACCCAAAAAAGAAAAGAAAAGAAAAGAAAATTAGTCCAACACATTAGAAAAAATACAAGGAATGGATTCAGTCTTTGCATGTTGGACCCATTAGGTTTGATCCAAGATAACTTTAATCACCTAACTTCATCTGTAATCAAGCAGTATATCGATTCACTGATGGGTTAAACCAGGTGTTCAGAATTACCACCAATGCCCCTCAGACAGGTTCAAAAACTAAGAAAGGAAGAAGGCTACCAAACTCCCTCTCATACTAAAATGAGAACAGACTAGAGACAAGATTAGACACCTATTTCCTTGAAGAGCACAGATGTAAAATATTTCATAACATACCTGCAAGTAAGATCAACAATGCATTGAAAGATCGTGCACCATGTCCATGTTGCATTCCACCCATAATTGTAAGTGTGGCTCAACAAGTCCTGGACAATTTGAAGAGTAAGACCCTAGACACCTGTGTCTCACACCAGTCATCCTAGCTACTGAGGCTGAGATCTGAGGATCACAGTTCAAAGCCAGCCTGGACAGAAAAGTCCAGGAGACTCTTCAATTCCGTACCAAAACACTGGCAGTGGCACTAAGCTCCAAGTGGCAGAGTGCTAGTCATGAGGAAAAGAGCTTAGGGACAGCACCCGGGCTCTGAGTTCAAGCCCCACTACTGATTCCCATTCCTCCCTCCAAAAGTCATTATACCAAGGATCCATCTTCTTTAAAGGTTTCTCCACCAAGGCACTATCAGCTATAAGAAGTGAGTAGTTAGGGATTTTAATGAAGTAGAAGCAATGGGAAGGTAGATACAGTCTGGCAGGGACCTAACAAGGCAAGGTGTGTGCAGTGTGCAATAGTGGCCACCATCATGCCAGGACTTGGGTGTGACCCAGATACAGAAGTCAGATGGTGCCTGTGCTAGGCGTCAGTCAATGGTTACTTCCTGATCTGACCTGGTGTGAGCCCTTCCCCCAAAAACCTCCCAAGGACTTTCTTGGCCCTTCCGGAGTCTGCTGTTTTGATTGCAATGGAAGATGATTCATCAGGCTGGTGGTTTTGTGAGGATGGCGACCACAGTGTGACTTGCTCTACCAGCAGGAAGTGCACAAGGGGTGGGGCCGGAGAAAGCAAGCTAAGGATGCAGGGTGTGGGGGTGTGTGAACCAGCCGGTTCACAGGCTGAGTAGCACCTTTGTGTCACAACCCATTTTTCCTGAAAGGCTTTGTCAGGAGCTTCAAGTCATCCCCACCCGTGAGAGGTGAGCATGTCTCATCCCTCCTACATATTGAGCATAGTCACCACGTGCTGCTGTGAATGAAGCCAAGGCAGGAGCTGGCTGTGAGCTCTGGCCAGCAGGTGTGCGGCAGGGGAACAAGAGTCAGGGGTCCGGCCACCGTGTGGCAAGCACACAGGGAACAGGAAAGGGATTTGTACAAGATGGTGGCGCAAAACTGAGGGTGCTCAGGAAGAAAGGAGACAGAAATGGAGATATACATCCTGAATGTGTGAACTCTCCAGAAGTAACGAGTCTAGACAGGGCTGCATGTCAGCATGACGATGAGTGGCTGTGCTTACAGCGGACTGCAGGGGTGCGTGGGTGGAGAGCCTAACCTTGAGCTGAAGAGCTGAAGGACAGCGCCTAGGACCAGAGTTCAAGCCCCAGGGCTGACCAAAAAAAAAAAAAAAGAAAGAAAGAGGAAAAGCATGTGGGGCATTGCTGAGCGCTGTGGGGGAGGGGAAGTGCGGGGTGTGGTTTGTCTTGGATTTGGATCTTGCTCAAGACAGAGTGTGAGGTGGGTGGAGGGTGGGGTGCTCCTGGGGACCAGGTGCTGAGAAAAGGTGGGTGGGGGCAGGGAAAGCCTGCATTCCCTTACAAGGCAGGGAGCTGGTGGAAGATGCGCGCTGTCCCTAGTTCAGGATGCTAAGTCCACATCCACGCTCTCCAAGGTGACTCAGATGGGGAGAATCTCTGAGGATGGGAACACCAGGGGTCAGGAGAGGACCAGGTGTGGATGAGGTTAATGATGACACCAGACAGCTCCCCAAAGAGACAAGAGCACACCTGTGCTGTGTAGAATGACTTTGGGCTGGATTAAGGGCATGGGGCATGGAGGGAATCTGGCTAAAGCCAGTGTGGGGGGAGGGAGTGCAGGGATGACAGGGCCTGTGGTTCAAGCCTTTCTGTGGTGGGGTGGCTATGGGAACTTCAGGATCAGGAGGAGGCACCTGGCTCAGAGCCCACAGTCCACTCAGCACCTGGCATAGTCCCTGGATGGCTCATGGAGGCAGGCCTGCCATCTGCTTGCTTTCCTTTTCTGTGCTGGTCCCAGGAATTGACCTCAGGGCCTGGGGCCTGTCCCTGAGCTTTTGTGCTCAGGGCTGGTGACTGTCCCCGTGGCATTAGTGCTACTTCTGGCTTGCTGTCATCCTGCAATTCATTCCTGAGAAGAAAAGGGTGGTGGTGGAGAGCCCAGGACCGGAGGGCCCTGACTGTCACTCAGCACAGCAGCCCTGACCTGCACCCCAGAGGCTGTGGTAAAGTGATCTCATAACAAGGGACATGAGGATCACTGCAGGAAATGTCACAATAGACAAGCAAGGGACTTTCTCAAGGAGGCTTCATGTTGTAAAAACAACTTTACATTAAAAAATGTGCTTTTCAAAAGTACACTTAATGTTGAATTAGCAGAGAGTCTAGACATATGTAACATAGACCACCAAGGAAAATAAAGAGTTGTGAAAATAAATTATGTGGAAGAAATAAGAACAGACAAGACTAAGGGAGTAACTGTCAGGCAGGACCCTTGATGTTTGTGGTCAGTGTTACACCAGCAGGACTCCCTTCCTTCCTTCTTTCCTTGCTTCCTTCCTTGCTTCCTTCCCTTCTTCCTTCCTTCTTCTTTGCTGGCTTGCCATCTCTCTTCTCTGTCTCTGTGTGTCTGTGTGTCTGTGTCCCTCATTCTCTCTTTCCTTCTTTGTGCCAGGCCTGAAGCTTGAACTCTGGGCCTCTGTTCTGTCCCTGGGATGGTTTTGCTCAAGACTAGCACTCTTCCACTTCAGCCACAGCACCACCAGCACCACCTCCATCTTTTTTTGTTTTTTAGTGATTTATTGGACATGAGAGTCTCAGAGAGTTTTCTGCCTAGACTGGATTTGAACTGTGATCCTTAGATTTCACGTGCTGAGGAACTCAGAACACAGGCATCAACCACCAACACTCAACTGCTATTTTCTTTTCTTGTTTTTTTTTTATTGTGAGAATACCCTACAGAAGAGTTACCATTATATGGGCAAGATAACGAGTACATTTCTTATCAAGCATTGTTGCATCCCTTTTGTTTCCCCTTCCCATCCCTTCCCATACACCTGCCCTCCCCCAACCCAATTCGACCCCACACCAAAGTTGTGAAGTTCATTTTTGGACATAACGATTTGTATGTCTCATTGTTGCAATGGGTCCACCTGTAGCCCTAAATGATTTGTTTTTTCCCTTCCTCTCCACAAATTATACCAACATCAAAAACAGTGAAAGCATGGTTATACCGTGGGGGAGGGACAAAGCAACATAGAAATCATCTTATAAATATGTTAGAAACAATTGCCAGCTGCTATTTTCTTTTCAACTGCTTTCTTCTGCAGAACAGAAAGGGCTTTAAGAATGATTTGCTTCATTGCATAGGGAACTATTAAAATAAGAAAAAAATCAAAAGACTCAAAATAGAATTAGGAAAACATGTTAGGTGAGTTTAATCAGTTTTTCTTGAATTTGACACCACTACCAATTAATGGGGCAGATTCTCTGAGGGAGTTGTCATGACCTAATAAGCATTATTTCAAAATCTCACATTTCCACTTTCATATAATTTTGTGGGCCAGCACAATAGAGACAGATGAACACACACACAGATATATAGCACACAAATGTGCATGTGTGGACAGGTGTGCACACCTTTATCACTCAGCAGATGACTTTTATCTAGGTGTGGAGATTGTTGAAGGGCCAAGCAAACTTTAGCAGAGATGCAAGCTTAGTGGTCCTCAGGGGAGGACCATTTTCTTCTTCTTTATGCAGGTGAAGAGGAGGCTACAGGGAGTGGAGTGTCCTCTCATGAGCCGGAAAGGGCTGAGGGATGGGAAACAGCCCATAGCAAATGCCGCTATAAGGTACAGCACAGGGCTGGGGTTGTAAATCACAGACAAGCAAATCTGACAGATGCAGGACATGGTATAAAAGGAGACAAAGGCGCTCACCAGGAGGAGGATGCTTATGGTGGCTCTGGACTCGAGAGAGGCTCTGGTGGAGAAAATAGTCCTCGGGATGTGTTGCATTTTCTGCTTGTGTCTGTACAGGACAAAAAGCATGGAGGTGCTGGCCCACAGCATGAGCCCCAGACACAGAACATCAGGCACCGAGAGTATGTTCACGTGCAGCACATCAGCAACTGGATTGTTAAGCATGGAAGAACAGTATCCATAGGTCTTTAAGCTCGTCATGTTGTCATGCACTTTGGTTCCGGTCATGTGCATAAGAAAAACAATACTCAGGAGGAGGAAGATCCCCCAGCTGAGGTAGACTGTGGTGACAGTGTGCTTGTAGGCTCTCCCCTTCAGCCTTGCCCACCTGGAGTCCCCTTGACTGATGCTGACAGCAAGGAAGATGCTCAGGGAGCAAGTGCTAATGATGGACACCCCTCTGCCTACTCGGTAAAGATAGAAGACCATTTTGCACCCCACATCATTGAAGAAAATTCTCCAGCCCAAAGCCACCATGGTTTGGGGAACACCCCTACACAGAAGACTTAGGAAGTTGGCTACAATTAAGTGCCTAAGAATCAAGTCTGTGGCTCTCATCCTGTTGCCCATGCAGGAAAGGAATAGATAATGGGAGAGAAGAGACAAATTACCCACAAAATCAACCACAGTCTGGGCTAAGAGGATCACCCCCATAGACACATGGGCATCTGCCATCCTCTCTGTTCCTTGAGTCTCATTCAGAGGCTCTGAGTTGGGAAACTGAGGCCTTCATGGTGCCAAGGGAACTCAGCATTCTCCATGCAGCATTCAGACCACTGGAAATACTGTCCTACTGTCTCTCATGTATTAGGAAAAATCCAATTCTATTCATCCATCAGGAAGAAGAAGATGGCATGTTCAGGGAAATGGGTGAACCTGGAGAAATGGCATTAAGGGAAGGTGAGTCTGGTTCTGAGGTGAAGGCAGCTGCATTTCACCACTGTAGGATCAGATCTAAGATTCTAAACAAGCAAGGCTCTAGTGGTTCAAGCCTGTAATCCTAGCTACTCAGGGGCTGAGACCTTGGATTCCCAATTCAAAGCCAGACCAGAGAAGGAAAGTCTGTGAGACTCTTCTCTCCAGTTAAGCAACAGCAAACCGGAAGTAGACCTGTGGCTCAAAGTGGTAGAGGCCTAGCCTTGAGCAAAAAGGGCCCAACAACATGGGCAAGCCCCAAGTTCAAGTTCTCTGACTGACTAAAGAAAGAAACTTGAAACATGCGTAACGCATTCCCGGGGTCACATGCACTTATACTTCAATACCCTGGCTGCGCAAGTGGGTCCCAGGTGTCACCCTCTCCTCAACATGGAGCTGAAATTTCACAGAAGAAATACCAGGAAGATGAACTAGATCTGCGGTGGGGATGGTGCAGGTGAAGGAGGAGGTGGATGACAGAGACAGAGAGGGGCAATTTTAGGTTCAAATGGGATTCTAGAGTCGCTGATGTGAACATATCTTCCCCAGCCCCTGGACAATCAGGATTCCTCCTCAGTTGTCATAAACCAGGACAGACTCTGTGAGGAAGAGGAAATGAGGAACCCACAGGGCTTGGGAGTGGAGGATGCCCTGAACCCTAATTCTTTTCACTCTCATAGCCCATTCCTATCCTTCCCTGTAGCTTTGTCGTGCATCCGGGTTCAATCCAGAATCCCTGCTCCTAAGGTGATCCCTTACACAGAGTGTGGAAACTGGGGTCTCTCCTGCAGGCTGCGCCTCTCCAGTGGCAGTGAACATAAGTGCTCGCCTCTTCTCTCAGGATGTGCATGGCAGGGTGGGTCATTTCTGAGATGCACATGGGCACTTCAGAGCTGCAGAGGCCTCTTTAGATAGGGGTCCAGGAGGGCGGCCCCTGAGGTCATCTCCCGCGGGAGCGATGATTTTCCCTTCACCTGGGGTGGCAGACCAAGTTCTCAGTAAACTTTTTCTTTTCCCCCGTGTGACAATTATCAAGACACTTTTCACTTTCATGTGGGTGCTTCTCCAGAGGGCAGGGGAGTGGTGCAGTCACTTACCTCTCCTGGATCCATGTAGGCCGGCAGGAGACACTGAGTCTCAAAGCTAGATGACTGTCTGTAAACAACCTCAGCGGTGTGTAAGCCATGTGTCTCCAAGTTTCTTACCCAAAGTGTGCCTTCTCTTTTTTTCCAGTTTTGAGACTTGAACTCTGGGCCTGGGCACTGTCCCTCAGCTCTTCAGCTCAAGGCTAGCAGTCTACCACATGAGCTACAGCACCACTTCTGGCTATTCTTTCCTGCTTCTGTGGTGCTGAGGAATAAAACCTAGGGCCTGAAGCATGCAAGGCAGGTGCTCTACCACTGAGCCACCATCCCAGACCTTATGATTATATTTCTATCCACTGTTCTGGGTTTGCTTTTATATTGTGCTTCATCGTTGATTGCATTTGAGACACCTGTTTTCATGCCAGGCCTGCACAGTTGTAAATTCCCTGAGCTTTTGCTGCATCCCAGAGTTTCTGGAAAGTTGTGGTATGGTTTTGATTCTTGAATTTGTAAACTTGTTCCTTCGTTTGATCCTTAAGTCTTATGCCTGACGTTGGGCTCGATAGTATATCACTTGATGAGAAGGGTCTTAAGCCAACATTCTAACTTGGCCTGGACTTACGGGTCCATGGCATCCAGTAGTACTAGTTCATGAAACCAGGGCAGCAGTAGGCATCTGTGTGCTGGCTCGCTGTCAGTCAGCAGAGGGTGACGGTCTTTATCTCATCAGCCTAACTTGGGTTTGATGTCTCCCCTGCTCTCGTGGAACAAGCAACTGGGGCTCCCTTTCAGGTCACTTCCCATTTGCTTGGGACAGTTTTCCACCCAGAACTTTCAGTTTTCAGTTTGGCTGGTGAAGTGTCATCTCACTGCAGTGTTGGTTTATAACTGGGCCGGGCAAGCTCTCCCTCCTGGCTGAGAGGCACAGGGTAGAGCCGGGTCACTGCTTTATAGTTCGGGCAGGTGTATACAGTTCCAGACAATACTGCCAGCTTTATGTTGTATATCAATTCCCCACTAACAAATAGCTCCAAATTTTTCATATGCTATCTATTGCCATCTACTCCTTTCTATCTCGTATATTTGTCTGTTCTGCTAAAAAACAACTTTCCAAAGCCTGGCACTTGCAGGAAAATGGATGGAACTGGAATTCATCATACATCTTGGGAAGGAAAACAACCCAGACAAGAAATGTAAATATGTTTTTCTCAGGTAGAATCCAGACTTTAAAAGACACAAACCTAGACAGGTGCCGGTGGCTCACTCCTGTCATCCTCGCTACTCAGAAGGCTGAGATATGAGGATCATGGATCAAAACCAGCCAGGGCAGGAAAGTCCATGAGACTCTTATCTCCAATAAACCACCAGAAAACCAGAAGTGAGGCTGTGGCTCAGGTGGTAGAGTGCTCGCCCTCAGCTGACGAGCTGAGGCACAGCAGCCAGGAACATAGTTCAATCCACAATCCACATGGGTAACCAAAAACAAAAAAGATATAAAGCTGTAAAGGAGACTCACACTGATGTCCTCTACCACAGGGGCCTTGGGCATGCTTGCAGTACCCAGTGGGAAACCCAGGTTTTGAGACAATGCTATGAGCTCATCAAAAAACATAGATGATTTTCCCAGGGCCCGGGTGTGGCTCAGTGAATAGTCAGAGGACTTGAGCAGTAGGAGGATGTGAATAGTAGGAGGATGTGAACAGTAGGCACTTTGCAGGCAGCCTGGGTCTTTGGCCAGCTCTGCCACAGCAGGCAGCATGCCTAGGGGTCAGGACACTCAGTGTGAGTGTTTAAGACTAAGTCTCCTCACAGAAAAGGGCAGAGACCAAGTCCCCAGGACACTCTCCCCAACCCCCACTAAGACCTGAGGGCCAACTGTTTCTATACCTTTATTTCTTTGTAAAAAGAAGGAAAAGGGGAATAAAATATAAACAGTACAGTAGACACAAATAAACCACCGTGGTGGGGGGTTGGGGGAGGGAAGGGGAGGGCGGTGGGAGGGAAGTATGGATGGGGTCCCCATCTCAGCAACAAGAGGCAGTGACCCAGATGCTCTCATCTCTCCCTACAGGGCAGGAGTGGCACCTTCCTCCTGGCTGCTGTCCATCCCACTGTGTGTCCCTCAGCCTTTGGGAGGGAGCCGGGCGCCGTCTCCCCAGTGGGCTCAAGGAACGTGAGTGGGGCCAGGTCTGGGATCAGGCCATGCACAGGGAGGGCTGTCAGGGACTCACTGTCTCCTTGAGGGGGGAGCTCAGGGAGGGTTGAGCAGAGGGTTGGCCGGAGGCCAGGCACTGAAGGCCCAAGCACTGGCTCTTCTTCCAGCATCAGGCAAGAGACAGAACTGGAGGAACAGGAATGGGCCGGCTCAGAAGCCCAGCCTCGTCCTCTTGTGTCCCTGCCAAGGCCCCACCACCCTCTCCCCATCCACCTGCCTCTCTGGTCCCCAGCCCCTGCCTGGGCACTGCCACCCTCTGGCACTCCTGGGCCCCTGCCCGGGCACCACCACCTCTCCCACCTGTCACTCCCCGCCCACCCCCAGCCCGCACCAGTCAGGGCCTCCTGGGCAAAGTCCTGGTCCTGGGTCAGCTTCTCCAGGACCGGCTTGACCTCGCTCTGCAGGGTGCTGGAAGCAGAGGGGAAAGGGCTGGAGCATGAAGCTGATGGGGCCCACAGCTTTGAACTCAGCTCAGGCCTAGCCAATCCCTGCTGAATTACAACTTGCATCTCCAGATGGCTAGCGATGCTGAGCCACCCATCACCTACCTTCCCTTCACACCCCCCTCCCCAGAAGGCTCGCCACTGCCACTGCTGACTCCTCAGTCTACAGTGAAGCTGACACTGGGAGGAAACAGCAGGGAGCAGTGGCAGCTGAACACACTGGTGCACATCTGGAATCCCAGCCACTGAGGAAGCCCTAGCAATAGCTGGGCGTGGTGGCACCTGTTATCCTAGCGGTATGAGCAGCATGCACAGACCAGGCAGCCTGGGCCTACACATGCATTCTGTGAAATATAACAAAGGCAAAAAAGCACTGGGGGCATGGCTCATGTGGCAGAATGCTTGCCTAGCGAGGTCAACCCTCAGTATCACCACAAAGGAAGAAACAGTGTAGCTGGAGAGGAGTATAAGAACAGCGATGGGCCCCATCTTCTGCAGGGACTTGGCCACATTGAAGCAGACTTTGGTGTCAGGGTCCCTTGCTATTCCCACAACGGTGGCCAGCATGTGCTTGGTGATGATGTCCTGCCTGCACACCTCTGACAGAACCTGGCCAAGCACAGGCACACGATCAGTACAGTCAGTGCCTGGCACATGGGCCTGGGTGTCAAGGCGGCGAGAACCCTCACCAGCATCCAAAAGGCACACACAACTGACACCACCTCCCCGCGACTACGATTTACAATGAGATCAACTCTGAACACACAGCCAACAGTGTGCCTCACACAAGGTCACCCACACCCAGGCCAAGGGTGCCAGAGGCCTGGAGTCCGCCCAGCTCCAGATGTGTACCACTGGCCCTGGCCTCCGGCCTCTCCACTCCCAAACTTGGTGTCACAGCTTGGCTGTGGGTGCCTCTCCCCTGCCAATCCGGCTCCTCGGCGCAGTTGGGGCGCGGGCCACACTCACGTTTATGCAGAAGTGGGTGGTCATAAGATGCAGATATTTGGGGTATCCGGACATGGCCAGCACCTTGAGGATGATGGTGGTATGTGCCCACTTCTTCCCGAACTTCTCCACCAGCTTCTTGAGGTTTCTGGTGGCTGCCTCATAGATGGCATAGACTGCAAGGGGGACAGGAAGGCCATGGGGGAGTTTTAGAGTGGGTCAGGGCTCAGCGCCAGCCTCCCACAAGGTTCCAACAGCAGTCGGCACTACACAGACAGAACAGTGGCGAGGCCCCGCCCACTGGCTGCCAGCTCCTTGTGGCAGGACTCACCATGGTCCACCAGCCATGCCATGCACAATGAGTTGAGTTTCTCATCAAAGAATTCTATTCCCTGCCAGAGGAGAGAGGTGGTGAGGGCTCTGAGGGTGAGGGAGGCTGGCCAGCCTCCTCTCCCCTCCCCGCCCTACCTGGCATGCCCTGGATCATGCACCAGCTACCTAGCCAGCAGGGGCATGTACTCAATGATGGCCAACCACAGGCACCACTTGGCGTCCTCGGCTAAATCCACGATGGCTGGCAGAAGCGACTGGGACAGCTGCCAGATGGCGAAAATCTTCACATAGTCCAGGTTGGAGATGATGTTCAGCTGCACCTCTGGGCACTGCAGAGGATGGGGCTCCAGTGATGCCTGGCCCAAGGAGGCCCAGAATGGGGGGAGGGGTGTGCCACCCCACAGCAACACCCTACAGACCTGCCATCTCCCCAAGGTCACTGCCCCAGCCCCAAACTGGCCCTGGCGATACCTGCTGGACTCTGCGATGGCAATCGATCACCTGGGTGGGGGACTCGGGGAGGGAATACTCACCTGTCCCTCAGCTGGGCCAGGAAGAGTGGCAGGAGGTGATCAATGGTGTTGTCTTTGCCCAGAAGGGGAGAGAGGCCGATGATGACAGAGGCCAGGGCAGACTTCACGTGCTGGTTGGCATCTGACACCAGTTCCTGGGAGGGAGAGGAGAGGGAGGCCCTGGGGGACCAGCCTCAGCCTCCTCTGCACATGATTGGCAGGGGGCATGGGGGCGGGCTGCAGGGGTCCTGTCTCCATCTCTTTGGCTGAAGCCTGTGACCCAAGTGCCTGGTCCGTTTCCACAGCCTGTTCTGTGCCCTCTTTAATGCCCAGCTGACTCCCTCCCTCAATCCAGTTACCTTGACGCACAGCAAGATCTGGGTCATGATCAAGTTCTCCCAACAATCTACAGAGAGGTTCTCGCAGAACTCTGCGGGACAGGGTGGGGGATGAGATGGTGCCGGCTGCACCTCCAACCTGAGCCCCCCTCCTCAGGCATGGGCCACGGGCACACACCTTTCACCTTGTGGGAGGCCGCGGCCCTCACCTTGGCCTCACAGTCCTTCATCAGGTTCTAGAAGGCAGGCACCAGGTCTGTCTTGGTGATCTCAGGCCCCATTGCTTTCTGGAGCTGTAAACTTGGAACCAGGGAGAGGCAGGGTGTATGGAGCGAAAGGGGTCTGGAAGACTCTCTCAGCTATTGAGGCCAAAATCCAGGCAGAAGCGGTGCAGAGGTGTGGAGACTAGGCAGGCTGCTCTCCCCAGAGCCAGGAGACATCCCCAACAGCATGTGCCAAAACCACAGACCTTAGTTCACATTGTCCCAAGTGGGGCTTTCTGTGACCAGATCCAAAAACATGCCAGCGATGCACAGTCTCCCGCTTTTACATTTCTACTAACATATAGTGGGCTGAGTCACTAAATGGGCAGGGGAGCTAAGGAGAGACTTCTCAGAAGAGGGAAGAATGGCAAAGAAGCACAGGAGGTTATGCTCATCATTCCTGGGCATGAAGGAAGTACAAATCACAACAACCCTGAGATTCCATCTTAATCCAGTTAGATTGGCCAGCATTGTGAATTGGAACAAATGCTGGAAGGGATGTGGAGAAAAGAAGCCCTACTGAGCTGCTGGTGGGAATGTGAACTAGTGCAGCCACTCAGCACAGCAGTCTGCAGGTTCCTCCAAATACTAAACACAGACCTTCCCTCCCACCCATTCCTGGGCATCTACACTGAGCATCATGACAAGGACACCTGCACACCCATGTTCACTGCCACACTACTCACAATAGCCAAGATACAGAAACAGCCCAGTTGCCCCACAGTAGATGAGTGGACCCACAAATGTGGACAATGGAACTTTACCCAGCCATTAGAAAGAATAAAATAATGTCATTAGCAGGGAAATGGATGGAACTAGAACAAATCATGCGAAGTGAGGTAAGTCAAGATTGGAGATTAACGGTGCACGTTCTCTGATATAAGGAAGTTAGATCTAAAATGTACTGGGATATGACAAATGCCACAAGATTCCAGAGACTCACACACAGTGAGACCAAAGGAGAATAGTCTTAGGAGAGAATCACAAAGGCCCAATGCCTAAGCATCTCTTCATATTCATATAAAATATTACACGTACAGAAACAAATCCCAAGATGTGGAAACAAAATACATATATATGTTTTGGTTTTAGCTTTTGATACTTCTGTGTTCTTTATCTGATAAACAGTCTGTTCTCATGTTATCTTTGGGAGGGTCCAAGGAGGGAAAAGGGATGGAAAAAAGTGCATCCATGGAGCTCACTGGACATTGATGAAAGTGAACTGCACAACTCATGGGTGGAGAAGGGAGGGAGGGGCTGGGAGGGAATGAGAGAACAGCAGGCACTCACTGTACAAAAGAAAATGTCCTGCCGAAACTAAACCAAGATGAGTTAAACCTTCTTAACAGGGCCATATCAAGTATTGAAATAGAAACAGCAGTAAGAGTCCTCCCATCTAAGAAAAGTCCAGGACCAGATGGTTTTACAGTGGAATTCTACAAGACCTTCAAAGCAGAGCTCACACCAATACTCCTCCAACTCTTCAATGAAATTGAAAGAGAAAGTTCACTACTGAACTCATTCTATGAAGCCATCATAACCTTCATCCCAAAACCAGGCAGGGACTCATCAAAGAAAGAGAACTATAGACCCATTTCTTTGATGAACATTGATGCAAAATTTCTAGACAAAAGTTTGGCCAATCAACTTTAACAATTCATCCAAAAAATCATACACCACGATCAAACAGGATTCATTTCAGGGATGCAAAGCTGGTTCAATATACGCAAATCAATTAATATAATTCATCATATCAACAAGAGCAAGGATAAGAACCACATGGTTTTCTCAATAGATGCAGAAAAAGCATTTGACAAGATCCAACACCACTTTATGATAAGGGTTCTGGAAAAATTAGGAATCCATGGAACCTTCCTCAATACAATAAAGGCTGTATATGACAAACCAACAGCCAGCATTGTACTTAATGGTGAAAAACTAAAGCCATTTCCTCTAAACTCAGGAACGAGACAAGGATGTCCACTCTCTCCACTGCTCTTCAATCTAGTATTAGAATGCCTAGATACAGCAATAAGACAAGATGCATAAAGGGGATCCAAATAGGGAAAAGAGAAATAAAACTCTCCCTCTTTGCAGATGACATGATCTTGTATTTAAAGAATCCCACAGACTCCACTCCCAAATTACTCAAGCTTATTCAAAACTTTGGCAAAGCAACAGGGTATAAAATTAACCCTCAAAAATCAACAGTTTTCCTGTATGCTAACAATGAGAAAAGTGTGGCTAAAATAAGGAAAGCAACTCCATTCGTAATAGCCCCACAAAAAAAAAATTACCTAGGAATTAACTTAACCAAAGAAGTGAAGGACCTCTATGATGAAAACTTTAAAAACTTGAAAAAGGAAATCAAAACAGAACTTAGAAAGTGGCAAAAATTCCCATGGTCCTGAATTGGAAAATGGCAATACTTCCCAAGCCTATCTACAAATTCAATGTGATACTTATCAATATTCCAACCTCATTCTTCAAGGAAATAGAAGAGGCAATCCAAAAATTCATATGGA